AACGGGCAGCTTCTGTCCAGAGGTGAGATGAGAAGGCAGAGAGGATTAGGAGCTGGTTGAACAGACATGGGAAATCAGGGGTGGAAAGGAGGAGTGTGCTCTCACAGTATAGGCAGAGCAATTAGGGTCACATAACAATGTATGTATAAATTTTTGTATAAAAAAGTAACTTGAAATGTAAACTTCCACCTAAACTACAACAATAAATAAAAAAATATGGAGAAAAAAACAGACGAATGGATAAACAAAGTATGGTACATACACACAATGGAATACTATGCAATGATAAAGAACAATGATGAATCTGCAAAACATCTCGCAACATGGATGAACCTGGAGGGCATTTTACTGAGTGAAAGAAGTCAATCACAAAAGGACAAATACTGTATGAGACCACTATTATAAAAACTGATGAAAAAATTTACATACAGAAAGAAATAATCTTGATGGTTACAAGGGAGGAGAGAGATGAGGAGGGAGAAATACTAAGCAGACAATAGATAAGTAGTAACTTTGGTGAAGAGTAAGACAGTATACAATAGTGGGGAAGTCAGCACAGCCTGACCAAGGCAAAGTCGTAGAAGTTTCACAGAAACATCCAAACCCCCTGAGGGACTGAATTACTGGGCTGAGGGCTGGGGACCATGGTCTCAGGAGATATGTAGCTCAACTGGCATAACATAGTTTATAAAGAAAATGTCCTACATCCTATTTTGTGAGTAGCATCTGGGGTCTTAAAAGCTTGTAAGCAGCCATCTACGATACTCCGCTGGTCCCACCCCGTCTGGAGCAAGGGAGAATGAAGAAAACCAAAGACACAAGGGAAAGATTAGTCCAAAGGACTAATGGACCACAGCTACCAGTCTCCACCAGACTGAGTCCAGCACAACTAGATGGTGCCTGTCTACCATCACCAACTGCTGTGACAGGGATCACAACAGAGTCCTGGACAGAGCTGGAGAAAAATGTAGAACAAAATTCAAACTCATAAAAAAAAGACCAGATTTGCTGGCCTGACAGACTGGAGAAACCCCAAGAATATGGCCCCCCGGATACCCTTTTAGCTTAGTGGTGAAGTCACTCCTGAAGGTCACCATTCAGCCGGGGACTGGACAGCCTCATAAAACAAAACGGGACTAACGAGGCACAGCAGTCCAGGGACAAGGACTCGAAGGCAGGAGGGGACAAGAAAGCTGGTGATAGGGAACCCAAGGTTGAGAAGGGACAGTGTTGACATGTTGTGGGGTTGTGTTAACCATTGTCATAGGGCAATATGTGTACTAACTGTTTAATGAGAAACTATTTTGTTATGTAAACCTTCATCTAAAGTACAAAAAAAAAGAATTTTCTATGTGAGATCAAATTGACAACAGCAACTCAAAAGGTTTGATGGGAAGCCTAGGGGACAGTGAGTTGAAGTTAATGGTGATGGAATAATTTGGAAAAGGATAGTGAGAATAGCAGCACAACCGGAAGAATGTAATTGAAGTCACTGAATTGTACATGTAGAAACTTTCAAAATGGTGTAACTCTGGCTATGTATATTTTCACTAAAAAAAAAGGTCCTCATGGTTGAGAAGGGAGAGGGATGACATGTTGTGGGGTTTTTAACCAATGTCATAAAACAATATGTGTACTGACTGTTTAATGAGAAGCTATTTGTTCTGTAAACCTTCATCTAAAGTACAATTAAAAAAAAAGACTTACTGGCTGACAGAAACTGGAGAAACCCCGAGAGCATGGACCGCAGATACCCTTTTAACTCAGTACTGAAGTTACTCCTGCGGTTTAACCTTCAGCCAAAGATTACAGGCACATGTAGCTCATGTAAACGAGGCACATGTAAAAGAGATTAAATGGGCATACCAGCCCAGGGGCAAGGAAGGAGAAGGCAGGACGGGACAGGAAAGCTGGACAAATGGAAAATAGGGAACCCAAGGTGGAGAAGGGGAGAGTGTTGGCACGTCGCGGAGATGGCAACCAATGTCACGAAACAATATGTGGATTATTTAATGAGAAACTAATCTGCTTTGTAAACCTTCATCTAAAGCACAATAAATAAATGAATAAAATAAAAAATAGCTGCCATCAAGTCACCTCCGACTCATGGCAGCCCCGTGTGTGTCAAGTCTGCTCCATAGGGTTTTCTTTCTTCTTTTTATTGTGGTGAAAATACACACGACAAAACGTTATCAAATCAATTTCTATATTTATGTTTCAATAACATTAAATTCTTCATGTTATGCAACCATTCTCATTATGCTTTTCCAAATTATTCCACCACCATTAACATAAACTCAATGTCCCCAAAGCAAAAACTTACTTTTTCTTCCTATTCTCCTACCCCTGGTAACCACTAATAATCTTTGCTTTCTATATATTTGCTTATTTCATATAAATGAGGTCTACACTATTCGTCCTGTTGCAACTAACATTTCACTCAGTATGTTTTCAAGGTTCATCCATGCTCTAGTATGTATCAGGGCTTCATTTCTCTTTTTGGCTGAGTAATATTTCATGGTATGTACATACCAAACTCAAATATCCAACTGCCTACTTACATTTCCACTCAGACACCTAAAACTTAATATGTTTAAATCTGTATCTTGATTCTGCCCCACTCCCACCGCCTCTGGATAAGACTGCTCTTCAGTCTTCCCCAGCACAGAAAATAACTATATTCCCTAGTTCCTTAGGCCAAAAAAATCTTAGTTATCATTGATTCATATCTGCCTATACATAGCTCTACTCCTCTACTCTTCTCTCAATGTGTGTGTGTGTGTGTGTGTGTATACATGTGGGTATATATATATATGTGTATACGTATATGTGTATATACGTGTGTGTGTATATATATATATCATATATATATATACATATATATGATATATATATATAAAAATCTTCCCACCTCTCAGTGGTCAAGCTATCATCATCTCCTGCAGGGTGACACTGCAGTAGACCTCTAATTGGTCTCCATGCCTCTACTCTTCCTCCCACAGTCTGTTTTCCACAAATCAAAAGCTACCCTTTAAAATAAGTCAAATACTGTCACTCCTTAGCTCAAACCCCTCCACTAATCTCCTATATCATTCAGAGTGAGACTACACGACCTCTCCACTTCATCTCCTACTACTCTTCTCCCTTGCTCATTCCATTTCAGCCATCCTGACCTTCCTGCTATCCCCAAAACATGCTAAGCATGCTCCCATCTCAGGCCTTTCCCCTTGCTCTTGCCTCTGCCTAGCACACTGTTGTCCTAGATGCCCACGTCGTGCTCTTTCACTTCTTTCAGGTCTTTGTTCAAGTGTCCACGTTAACTATAAGCTCTTCCCTGACAAATCTACAGAGTAAGTCACCGGGTTACAACTTAAGGACAACTCATACTTACCCTTAGTGTTACATAAATTTGCCCTCACTTTGAAACAACTGGGGCACTGGTGGT